AGCTTGGAGGAGAGGCCGCCCTGGGCCAGCAGCTGCTGGTGGGTGCCCTGCTGCACCACGCGGCCCTTGTCCAGCACCACGATGAGGTGCGCCCGCTCCACCGTGCTCAGCCGGTGCGCGATGATGAGCACCGTGTGCTTCTGCAGGTTGCCGTGGATGGCGCGCTGGATCTGGGGAGACAGGAGGCTGGTTGGCCACCCCCCCCCCGCCTCATCCCTCCTCCTCCCCGGACCCCGACCGCCCCACCCGCCTGGATCCAAGCTCTCCCACCTCCTCGTGAGCTGGGTTCATCTGAAAAGCCAGGACTTGCGCAAGACCTGCTTCTGGGCTTTTGTTCCCTGGGGACAGGCTCAGTGCCCAGCAGCAGGGGGAGCCCGGTGAGGGACAGGTGGGCCCCACCTGGCCTTCCTGCTCTGTCCTCCGACCTCAGCCTTGGTGGGTGGTCTCCCCATCTGCCCCAGAGCCCATGCCAATGAAACGAAACCATCACCCTCTGTTCCTCAACCTCCCTCGTGGCTCGAATCCAACTCAGAGCGAGTCCTGTGGACGCTGTCTCCCCAGTTATCTCGCTCTGCTCCGTCCCTCCACCTCCCCCGCATCCCGCCTCCTGTTCCATTCCCCACACTGGTTAACGTGTCCAATCAGTTCTTGTTGAACTCCGGCTCCACGCCCTCCACTGGCTCCTTGTCCCACTTAGGATAAAACCCAAACTCTGTCTATGATGGCAGACACACAACATTCTCCATTTGTCAAACCCACAGAATGAGCAACACAACGGTGATCTCCAATTTAAACCACGGACCCTAGTTAGTAAGAATGCATTAATATTGGCTTGTCAATTGTCCAATGTGCCATAATAATATGGGAATTCTCTATATTTTCTGCTCCATTTTCTTGAGACCTAAAACTGCTCTAAAATTTCAAATCTATTAATTTTTTAAAAATATGTTTTTTTAAAAAATTGATAGCAGAGAGAGGAAGGGAGGGGGAGATAGAAATATCAATGATGAGAGAGAATCATTGATCGGCTGCCTCCCTCACGCCCCCCAGTAGGGACCAAGCCCACAGCCCAGGCATGTGCCCTTGATCGGAATCGAACC